AATATTCGATTTACTTGTTAATTTTGGCATATATTGTATGTTTATATAGCGGGATTACTATGCTTATAATTAAGTCAATATTAAATTAAAGTCTTTAAGGGTATACCGGAGCTGTAGGCACGCTCACTTCCCGTCGCGCATTGCACAACTAACTGTTGCCACCTAAGCCGTCGACTCTAAAGTCCTCTACCAAATCTTCTCATTGGTGGCGGAGCTGTAAGGTACTCAATTTCCGACGCCGAAGAACGGCGTCTCTCCAGTTCCCAACAACCTAAGCAGCTGGAGGGACCAGAGGATATCTAACTCATCCACTACTAGCTAGCTCTCCGGGCTAGTGCCGGTCGTAGTGTCCTGCGACCATGTTTGGACATAGCTTCCGCCTTACGTCCTCGTCTAGACTGCTACTAAGACGCGCTAGCTGCGCACGAGACAGACGCCTCGGCCACACACCACCGGGGCAGACGAACATGTCCGTCTCTGCAGCTCACCACAAATCCCAGCAAGTCCATACCCAAGTCCGGGTCCACCATAGACGCCCGTGAAGGCGTATCACTATCGGAGGGCTCGGCCCGGACGCCCGCTGTACCCTGATCTTCCGGGGAACCCGTAGTCTCTCCGGAATACCCTATCTCTCGGGTCGGTAGATAAGGACTTCACCCTGGGACAGTTGCTTCAACTGTACGAAGCACAAGTTCGGTCTAGTATGGAGTACTGCTGCCACCTATGGATGGTTCGGCTAAGTGTCGACTCTGGATTCACTAGAAACGCGTGCCAAAAGGCTTTTAGGTGAACAGAACCATTCCACAGCAGACTAGACAGCTTAAAAAACGTCCTTCACTAACTATATGACGTGTGTAATGTACGCGCGCTTAAAAAAAGCGTTGGCTCATTTAATTACCAACCAGAATGTTACTGTTGTACGTATCGCTAATGATGGACCCAGTAGCCAATATGGAAATAAAAACAACTTTTGTTTATTACAAACATCTTTTCAAAACGTTTGAATACACACACACACACACACGTCACTCCCATGTCTGTAATGTCACAACCGTGATTTTAACTCATCTTTTCAGCTACTTCTGAAGGTCTTTAAGCTTGACGAAACTACCGAAACCGCTATTTTTACGTAAAATTTACCCCATAATTTAAAAAAATAAAAAAGATTTATTTTATTTTTTTCATTTTTCTGACACCAATTTTGAGAATGACCCATAGATGGCGCGCGATGCGCGATGCGAGGGCTTTCTTTGGGAGTTGTGTGATACGAGTAGGTTGGGAGTTAGACTTCATATTTCAGTAGAGAATCCTCGTTGGTTGAGTTTGGATGAGAGGGAGCAGGGTTATTGACTGCCTCAGTTTAGTTACATGTAAGGGTAGTTGGTATGATCGCGTCAAATTGTATCCTTAAATATCTCATAACAAACCAGTCGTATATCATTGACAGCTGCGAAGATTGTGAATAGTCAATTTTCCTATGGCGGCCAACTTGAATTCGACATATCGGAACACTTTCGGTTCTGGTAGAACCTGACCAAGATCCTTGACAACTTTTATTTGAGAGCCATGTGCCCATCTCCGATACTTGAGCGAACAGCCTCTGTCCTACCTTCTGCTCACTGACGTACTCACTGAACCCTTCTGGTCACTGTTCTTGTAAATCATTTTAAACGATCTCTGTTCCTTCTGGAAGATCTATTACCTAAATGTCAGTGGTAATCGAGCTACTTACATACAGTATGATGCGCGTTGCGCTGAGCCGCTGGACTGTGTGTTATACTTATAACTGTTTGCTACTTGCAGTTTCCGTCTCAGATTTTTTTAGTTACGTATCATTGAGTGTAAGACAGCAGAGTAATTGGTATGATTGGGTCAAGTCGTATCCTTAAATACTTCGGAAGAAACTACTCATTAATAGTCATTAGTCATATATCATTAATAGTTGCGAAGATTAAGAAAAGTAAATTTTTTTATGGCGGCCATCTTGGATTCGCCATATTGGAACATTTTTGGTTCCGGTAGAACCTGATCAGAGTCCTTGACAATTTTTGTTTGAAAA